TTTTTTCGTAACTGATCCACAGTCTTTTCCACAGCCATATGACTGATTTTTCCATGAATAGCTCTAATAACATTATCTTCCATTTCTTTGGGAACGTAAAGCATCGTATGCCCTTCATTGTTTCTCCTGAATACTAGACCATCAACAAGCTCAAAATTCTGGACCGGTCCATTTTCCAACTTAGATCTTAGCAATTTAATCGTTTCATCTCTGTTCTGAGTTATTTGAAGGTTAAAATCTATATCCTCAATCCCATCCAACACCACTGTACAGCACCTACTAAGCCGCAACAAGGTCCTCAAGTCGCTAGCCGGCATTACTTGGGGCAAAGACAAAGAAACGTTGCTGGCAACATACAAGGCAATAGGCCGGCCGGTTTTGAACTACGCAGCGCCAGTGTGGTCGCCAGGGACTAGTAGGACGCAGTGGACGAAGCTACAGACTGTACAGAACACCGCACTCAGGACAGCGACAGGATGCCTCCTGATGTCGCCTGAACACCATCTACACGGCGAGGCGCAAATGCTCCCCGTAAAGGAGCACAATATAATGCTCTGCAAGCAGTTCCTGATCGGGAGCCACAGAAGTGGCCACCCAAGCAGACAGCTGCTTGCAGAGGAGCCCTCGCCTAGGCACGTCAGGAGGCATCTATATGAACTTACATACGAAGTCCAGAGGTTCATCAAGCAACCTCTGGACCCGACAGCTTACCGACCGGCCCTGAACGGCATTCACAGGGACTCAGTCTCGAGTTATGTAGACTCTAGACCTGTGAATGCCGTTCTAGGCATACCACCCCCGGACATAGACGAGACGGAGCTTCATCTGCCTCGGGAGACTCGCACAACACGTGCACAACTTCGCTCCGGCTACTGCAGCAGGTTGAACTCCTACCTGAGTAGGTTGAATGAGGATGTGCCAAATGAGTGTCCGGCATGCGGAGAGATCCCTCATGACTCGAAACATCTCTTCGCATGCCCGGAAAACCCGACAACCCTAACGGCTTTGTCCCTGTGGACCGACCCAGTGGAGGCTGCATGCTTCCTAGGGCTGCCGTTAGTGGAACTTGACGACAACGACTGAGATACCAACCGTCCTGGGCGGGGTTGTTGTAGCCGCTACAACAACAACAACAACCTACTAAGCGCATCAACATGAGCCATGGATATCGCTGCCCGGTGTTTCACTTTATAATTATAGTTTTCAAAGGTAAAAACCCATCTAGCTATCCGAGAATTCACTTGTTTTTTTATCTAAAGTTTGAGCCAAAGCATTACAATCCGTAGCTATAGTAAAGGCAATACCCTTAAGCTGCGTTTTAAACCTTTCCAAAGCGTATACAATTGATAAGGTTTCCAGTTCAAAACTGTGTAACCTCGATTCGCTCTCAGATGCAGTTTTAGAAAAGTAAGATACCGGATGAAATTTACCATCTTCTTGTTTTTGTAAAAGAAACGCACCAAACCCTAACTTGCTAGCGTCCGTATGAAGCTCCGTTTCTTTAACCGGGCTGTATATCGATAGTACAGGAGCAGAAGTTAAACATTCCTTAAGTTTATTAAAAGCCTCTATGCATTCGGGTGTAAATTTAAATATTGTATTTTTCTTAAGGAGGGACGTCAGGGGTTTTGCAACCGAAGAAAAGGACCGAACAAATCGTCTAAAGAATGAAAACAAGCCTAAGCATTGCTGAACCTCTCTAGAATTTTGGGGTTGTGGAAAATTGCGAATGGCTTCAATGCGCATTGGATGGGGCCGAATACCAGTTTTATTCACCATATATCCCAAAAATTCAATTTTAAAAAACCCTTATCTAAATTTCTTCATTTTCAGTTCTAAACCTTTCTTGCGCAACCGCTGTAAAACCGCACTAACAATTTCGATATG